ATTTCAACTATCTATTCCTGATGTTAAGTATACGTTTCTTTTTGTTTCCATTTTATCTAAAACCACAACGTTGCTCACATGTTCAATCCATGGTATCCTCAGCATGCTGCTGTAGAAACACATTTCTGTTGTTTCAAGACTCTTCTTCACCTCTGAGGAGACTAAAAAGTATTCGCTGCCATACAGAAGGACAGATATCAATATACAGATACCAGATATGTAACAGTTCAGTATTTTTTTTCTTGTTTCTAACGAAGTTTTTATGTATCTTAATACTCTGCTTAGCTTTTAAAATGCATCTTTGGCCATTCCAATGCCTCTTCGGATGTCGGTGTCGCATGTTCTGTTCTCTGTAAGAATAATTCCCAGATATTTAAATTTTCGTACTTGTTTGTTTTGGTATCAACGATTTGTAATTTGCATTTTCGGTTCATTCTTTTGCTAACAACCATGTATGTCTTCTTGTAGTTTATATTTAGTCATTTCTTCTCGCTTTTCTTTGCTATCTTCTGTAGGAGATTTTTTGTTTCCTTTTTGTGTTTGTTATCATCACTGTGCCATCTGCATATCTTCTTTTATCAAGAGTGTGACCACCAATAATGAATCCTCTCCGAATCGCGTCACTGTATAGATTGAACAAGTCTGGTGAGAAGACACACCCTTGTCTTATACCCCTTTCAGTTTTTGTGTATCTGCTGAGCTCAGTTTTTTTTTATCCGTACACAAGCGGCTTGCAGCTAGCAAAGTTTCTGGATTATTTTAATGTCCTTCCTAAATATGTCAAGGTCGCTGAGCAGCTCTAACTGATCTTTGTGGCGTACTTTATCGAACACCTTTGCGTAATCTATAAAACACAGCAGGTGATTTAAATGACAGTAGCGTGCTGAAGGTGAGACGTCCCCGGGCATTCCTCTTGGGAGGGAATTCAATCAAAAAATGAGATAAAAATTTAATTTATATTTAATTTGAATAAAGTGTTTATTTCGTGTTTCATCTCTTTTTACATATTTATAATGTCTTCCTTTCTTACATTTCTAAGTACTAGGTCCTATGCCTACCTACTTGAGCCATAGGGAGTATGCAATCAAACCGGGCATTACCAAACCTCTGGAATCGAGGATACGAAATGCCTTTCAGAAAAGTATGAATCTGTTCCTCCGCGCAGCTGTACGAACAGTAGGGAATACTGGGCTATGCTAGCCTATAACAATGTTATAAATTTTAAAACTGGGAAGAAGACAACTTCTTTTGTGCACACTATTTACATTATTCGGACTATTGTCCTCATCTTTGTTGCCGTATTTATTACAACCTTTCGGCCATTCAGTATCTGTCTATATTTCTGAGATGAGGTATTAAGTACATTATTTACATTATTCTGAAAAACGTTAAAACGTTTACAATTTCGGTCTCTAGAAACTTTTAGGTATTACTGAATTATATGATAGCGGAAACTTCATTTTGTGCAATGCGATCTCTATATATATCCTCAGATATGCGAAACACGGATGAGCCTTTTTAGTCCTGCAAGGGTCATACATTCTCTTGCACAGATGCGGCAACCTTTGCACTGGTTGTTACAGGAATGCTGCATGGCATGTAATGAATGAATTATTCCTTGATGATTTTTAGGTCTGCTCGACATTTCTTTTAATCATTTCATCCCAAGCAAAGCAGTAAAGCCATTAAGATGCCAGGGGTTTAATAAATGTTATAGAATATGAGAAAAGTAAACTATTAAGCAAGGAAAACAATAAAATATAAAGAATTAAGAAAACAGAAGATAACGGTTGACATTGAATTTACATTTTTGAAGGTCAAAGTTGACTGGAAAGCAAGATCCCGGATTAGAGCTCCACAAGCGAGAGGTGTGAATATGCGAGTGTGTGTTTGTGCGTATGTGAATTGTTACAGAAAAAATCCGGAAGAACTGATCCATTTTATATCATGTTTAACCTCATTTATCAGCGTATAACACGTTGTCGAAACTGGTTCAACGATTCTTAGCGTGAGTATGCCTATTAATGATTTGAAGCAAGCGATAATTACGCTTAAAGAGTGGCAACAAAATCATGGAAACTAATGAAGCGGCCAAAAGAATAAAGAAAGAAGGAAATGGTTAAAAATAAAAAGAGTTGGGAGAAGTCTTGAGGAATATTCGAGCCTTAAATAAGCAGAATAGAATTCATGAAACTTTAATAAGATTAAATGATCATAGACCTACCCAGTTTTTATTTTAATCATTTCACTCCAAGAAAGGCAATAAAGCCTCTAAGATGCGAGGGGTTACTGGGTGTGAGAGAATACTAGAAAAAAACCAAAGGTGAGCGAATAATTAGAAGCAATAAAATGTGTTCGGAGAAAGTCTTGAGGAATATTCGAGCCTGAAATAACCACAGAAGAATTCATGAAACGTTAATAAGACGAGGTATTCTTCAAACTATCCAGATTTTATTTTAATCATTTCACCCCAGGCAAGGCAATAAAACCTCTAAGATGCGAGGGGTTACTGAGTGTGAGAGGATACGAGAAAAAAAAAAAAACAATTCTATGACGGGAGAACGATAGAAGAACAGGAATTAAGAAAACAGAGAATAACGATTGGCATTTAGGTTGACAGGGAAGCAAGAAGTCGAAAGAGATTTCCATAAGTGCGAGAGAAGAATCTGCTAGCACAGAACTTACGATTACATCTAGCTATTTCAACTTTAAAATGATGAAACCTAACCGCCAATCTAGTACCGCGTTTAAATTCATAAAGGCTTGGTAACATAGAGGTAAGTATGACAAGTCCTCTGAAATTTCCTATTTTCAATGGATAACGCGCTGGCTTAACGTTTAATCGCGTGAGAATGCCTAATGCAACGCCCAGGGGAATAAAGAACGAAGGAACTGGTTAAAAAGTAAAATGTGTTCGGAGGAGGCTCGTAGAATATTCAAGCTTTAAATAAGCAGAGCAAAATTTCATGAGACTTTAATAAGATGAAATCTTCATAGACCTAACCAGTTTTTATTTTGATCATTTCACACCAAGTAAATATGCGGCTCTTACAATAAGCACGTTTGGCAACCACTGCTTTATACAGTACCCAAGTCAAAAAAAGGATCTTGCTTGAGTGACTGTGCTATTTTATTATCCATCAGTTGATATTGTAAGGCTCAACAATTCGGCAAGGTCTCTATATGACTGAACTTAAATAAGCAGTGTATCAGCAACAACCAAACATTCGCTCACGAATATCGGTTTTCATTATATGTTTTAATTTTCCTACTGTCCTACTTAAATGGAATATAATATTCATATATTCTGATAACCCTATTAACCGGAATATAGTATTCATATATGCACATACATATCGATATATAAGTTTGTGTTTGTGTGTCAATATGAGAGTGTGTGTGTTTGTGTTAAACTGTGACAAAAAATCATGAAAACTAAAGAAGCATCCACGAGAATAAAGAATGAAGAAAATGGTTAAAAATAAAATGAATTTGGAGAAGTCTAGAGGAATATTCGAGCCTTAAATAAGCAGAATAAAATTCATAAAACTTTAATAAGATGAAATCATCATAGACCTACCCAGTTTTTATTTTAATCATTCACTCCAAGAAAAGCAATAAAGCCTCTAAGAAGCAAGGCGTTACTGAGGGTGAGAGATTTTTTTTTTAAGCATTACGCCCCGAGCAAGGCGTGAAGCCACTAGGATGCAGGGGGTTGCAGAAGATTTGGAGCGAGAGCAGATAGGAGTGATAGAAGAAAGGATGAGGAGAGGGATAGTGGGTAGATCAAGGTAACTGGGGGTGTCGATTGACATTACATTTGAATAGTTGGAGATTATAGCTCTCAGGGAAACAGTAATTGGGAAGGGTGTTCCACAGGCGAGAGGTGCGAGGTACGAAGCTATTAGAGTAGAAGAGACGGCTACATTCAAAAGTTTCTACAGTGAAAAGGTGAAAGCGGGATGCCAGCCTCGTAGGGCGCTTGAATTCATGGAGTCTGGGAACCAGTGAAAGCAGCTCAGCGGAGCAATTACCATGGAAGTATTTGTAGAAAAGACAGAGAGAGGCGACGGCGCGTCTGTGAGAGAGTGACTGTAGACGAGACGCCAGATCAGGGCCAATTACATTACATATCCGTCTTTGGATCTTGTCAAGAACTCCGAGGTAAACAGAAGGTGCCCCAGACCATATATGGCAGCAATACTCCATGCAATGGCGAATGGTTGATTTGTATATTTGAAGTATCGATTCCGGGGAGAAAAATTTCCTGGCGCGGCTCAGAGAGCCAACTTTCCTTGCAGTGGAAGAAGCAATTGACTCAATGTATTTGTTCCATCTCAGGTCAGCAGACAACGTGAGACCGAGCAGACGCAGGGAGTTGCTCTCAAGAAGTTGACTATCAGACATTCTAATTGGGGGGGTGCAGATAAGTATCTCTATGGTGATTAATAGAGAGTAGTTTAGTTTTTGAGACGTTAAAGTTGACCAGCCAATTCTTGCCCCAATTAACAAGAAAAAAAAACAAAGGTGAGCGAACAATGAAAAACAGGAATTACGACAGAAAATAACGAATTTTGGAAGATCAAAGTTGACTAGAAAACAAGAAGAAATGAAAGAATGAAACATAAAAAAGACTTTGACACCCTTTTCAAGGGTTAGGGATTAACAGATGCATAGAGGCCTGCGTTAACATTCTTAAAAGAACGAAAGCGACGCTATTACGAACAACTTACAGACTGTTATAGGAATGTGCTGCTAATGTGGCAGGGTCGTAGGTGTAACATGTTGGCGGACCCGTCGCTGCGGCCAAACCTTTCCAGGCCTCGGCTGATCGTTCCAAGTCGTAACCGCTAGTGGGACCCGGTTTCTGTAAAAATAAATAAAAAATAAACCTTAGAAATATTGTATCAGAAATTGGAGGAGGACAAATAACAAATAATTTAGATAAAACACTGATGTGCATTTTTATGCTAGCTTTCTATTCGAAGCTCTTCATATCT